TTGGCGGGAGTCACCGATATTGAAGTCGTCGTTCCATCGTACTCTGTTCGTTAGAAGACGGAGAAATACTATCAGAAGTATGATTGTGATTAATTGTCATAACATTTATTCTAAGACTTTGCGTATAATAACCTTATTGTTGGTTCCATATTGGTGCAAGAATAAAGGATTCTCGAGTCATCAATCTGTGTTCTGTTTTTTCGCGTTGGTTATTGTACATTGTTGCTGAAGGTCTTCTAAGGACAGCATTAATTCCAGTGTAGTTAGACCTGGACACTGGCAACTTAAATTGGGAAATTTGTTTCAAAATTTGTGGAAATTGCACAAGTGGCTGCATGATGCCTGATTTTGGCGGGAAGAAGGGCAAATGGGGATGAAACGACTATTGAAATTGATTATGCAAGAAGCAATTAGGGATGAGGTAAGCAAAACAACATAATTAAAAGAATAATAATTTGCAAGTGACTCGTGGGGCTGGAAACACTTTCATATGTGTACACTCACGTAATGACAACCAAGTTAACAAAAGTGACGACACAATTTTTCGCGGACACAGGTTTCGCTTCTTGAGATGAATTGTAATAACTCCAGATGTAAATGAAGGACAAACTCCTTAGACAAAATCAAGATTAGTGACAATACGATAATTAACTCTAAATGCTCTCTAAGCAGTATCCTCAAATAGAACCACTAATAGGCCTCGTTTTTTTCTCGCTTGACCATGAGGGGAGATGTTCAAAAATCCTGAAATGAACACGACTATTTGTTCACCCAATATGACAAACCCCACTGAAGCGGTCCAAGTGGAAGATACATAAAAGGGAGGAAAAATAAGATAGTTTTACTTATTTGAAGCGGTTTTGAGGTGGTGTTCCTCAGTAGTATCGGTACCCATACAAGTCTTTCATCTTCTGTATATATTATGTGCTGTCTTTCCGCTTTGAAGGCAGTTTTAAGGGCAGCTTGATCGCCATGTTAGAGTGACCCAAGCTAGGAACTGGTTCGACCATATGGCCGAAAGACCTGTGTAGCAAGGCAGACGTTTCCATGAAAACCACGGGTGTTATTTTGTTGTTGAGGTCGAGCAAACGGAATGAAACTCGTTCGATCAGTGTACTTTACTAGCCTGGAGGCATTTGTGGTATGAAACTGCCCGTCACCCTGGGTAGACAGCCCTCACAATCAAACGGTGATGAGGCGAACACATGGGGGTAATCATTGTTAACGTTAGGCGTATTTATTTGATACGATAGCTTACTAGCAAGCATAGTCCCTCGTGACAAGAAATGATAGAATGCTTTATACCACATACCTGGAATAAAAAATTGCAGGCCCGTTCATATCTGCTTTACAGAGGGAAAAATTGGTTCGCAGGAGAGCTAAATTCCTAAAAGTAACTTCGCACTGAAAACATGAAGTCAAACAAATTCTGGTGTTCTCGCAACCTACCAATCATCGGATTTAAGAATGAGGTCTATCAGTCCAAACGTAGAGGGCAGTGGTCTCTCGGCAAGTGCAGGGTGAGGCTAAATCCATAAGCGTGCTAATACATTGTTAAACAAGCTTAGCCTTACACAAACTGAGCCCTGGGCTATCAACCGGCTGCACTCTTACTTCTCTAATAGGATGGAGCACACGGTATATAATGGTGTATCTTCCTCTCCTTTGCTTACTGAAGCTGGAGTTCCTCAGGGTGTTGTTCTTTCTCCGTTTCTCTTTTCATTCTTCTTACATGATTTGCCTCTTTCAGACGAAATCAACTTCGTCAAATATGCCGATGACCTGTCTGTATCGTTTCCCATTAAGTCTCAGTCAGACTGTTTCAAATTAAATAGCTTCCTGTCAGTCATCAGTCAGTGGTCTAAACTAAATGGTATCATGCTGAATCCCTCAAAATGCCAGACTACTGACTTCTCCCTTAGGCATAAACGAGATCTACAAACACTAGTAACTACTATTTTTGATTGCACACTAGTCAGTAACTAGTGTAATGTATCTAGTCCCATCTTCGGTGCAGACTGAATTCTAATTTGTATGTGGCCACCATTCTAGGTGGCTCGCCATTACGGTGCACTGTAATTGTTGGTATTAGATGGTTGGAGGCAATCGGCAGGAAGCCTTGGACCTAGGTTTCGTGCTAGTTGGCACTTATCAGCAAGGCGTGTCTGCAACCTTGAAGGAACTCATGTCCAATCAATCAACCAATCAAAAATATCCAATACAGTCACACAGGAGGTCAGTCGCGAGCCTGAATAGCTCAGTGGTAACGTCTCTGACTGCAGCACTGGGTGACGCGGGTTCGAATCTCAGAAGGGACATCCGTTCCTTCAAGGTTGCAGATACGCCTTGCTGATGAGTGCCAACTAGCACGAAACCTAGGTCCAAGGCTTCCTGCCGATTGCCTCCAACCATCTATACTATCTCATGAAGCCTGTTGCATTGAGGGGACCAAAATTGAAACTAAGTCTAATGCAAAATACCTCGGTCTAGTTCTGTCTTCTGACCTTACCTGGACATCTCATATCCTAACGATTTCTAAGAAAGTGTTCTGTTTAACCTACTACATTAAGAAACTTAGAAAATCTGGAATCACCCAACCTCTACTTTCACAATTTGTCAACTCTTGTATCTTACCTATTCTACTTTACTGCTCCCCGTTAGTCTTTCCTGGGCTACTGAAAAAGGACTATACCATCCTGAGAAGGATGTTGAAGGTAGTTAGTAGGACTAGTGGTGTAAAACTCAGTCAGCTCGTCACTACATTAGTAGAAAGGCATCTGAATACATGCAATAAAATGGTCTAAAACCATACTCTCCGACCCCCAACACCCCCTCTATTCCCGACTCTCTCCTTGTATCTCATCAAGTAGAACCAGAAATCAGTACAAAATAATTTATGCTCGTACAACCAAGTACAGGAACTCAACGATACCATATTTGGCTCGTGTTCTAAGTGACAGAGACAATGTTAAGCGCGAAACCTATGACTTGCTTTGTTATTAATAACATAATTTTAGGCTCTTTTATTTCTCTCTTATTTTGTATTCTATAGTGAACTCCTTCTCAAACATACTTAGCTTCCTAAATTATTAACATTGGCTTCCTTTTTTGTACTTTACTATATTCCCTCTATTGTGTATCCACTGGTTCCGACTATATTAGCACTATGAGTAGTACAAAATTTCCCTGTCATTAACCATCATATAATTATTAGTTTTATGGTTGTTTTTTCTTATTTTTCATTTTTTCATTTTTTTCGGCAATCCTAATCTGACAATCATTGTTTGTGAACGCCATTGTCACCACCTTAAAAATTTTGTATTATGCAGGATTACTCACACTACTACTACAAACACCGCATTAGACCTGATAAAAAAACAACAACACTGAAATGTTATTTTATGATTGTTTAGAGTTGTTTCAACCAAATTAACTGATCATCTTGGCGATAAACATTCTTAAATATCATTTCATAACTTCTTGTATGACGATAGCTTTACTGTCACCATGCATAATCATATCATAGCTTCCACTGCCCAACACTGAGTCATTATTATATGATGTTTCATTTCCTTTCTACTTCTTGGTATTTTTTCGTATTTTTTAAAATTATTTTGTTTTTCCTGTTTTTTTGCTGTTGTTGTCTTTATATTTATTTTTTGAAATACTCCTTTTAAATGTCTGATAAAATTAGATGCAAATATTGTAGATATGTGCTGAAAATTCCACACTGTACCACTAGTACTGTTTCTGGAATAAAGCAAATTATTATTATTATTACATCGTGCCATGGGGTAGCAACGAACGGTGTGGGCGATAGGTGCCTGAATGATATGTAACTACAACAGTGGCTATCTGCACAGATAAATCTGAGAGGCCTCGTGAAAGAGAATCCTTGAACAAGCTGAGCCAATTCATCTTTGAAGATGGTGCACCAAAACTTACGGTAGTGAACTGTAGCTGGTGGATGGTAGGAAAATAACACAACAGTGACGTCCACCACTGTGAGTGCAAGTCAAAGGCCTTCTGGTAACATGAGAGGAAACTTGAATCATAAACTTGAAATTGTGTCGACAGTGGGTAATACAGTGAAACGCTTAGTAGAAACCGTAGGCATAGAAGAAAAGATACTGTCGGGTCGATTTCCAGAGGAATGTTTCAACCTGGGAAACTAACCATCCACGAAGCAAACTCTAGGTGCTCAAGTGTCAAGGGAAACAATTAAATGCATTCTCCCCAACATCAGAAGAGTCGGGAGTGAAACGCCGCAACTGCCAAAATAAACCTTTTCCAGCACTTTAGCACTGAATTTTTAGAGAGTTGAGAGAAATGCAAGTGCGACCAAACTTAGAAGTTCAAAATGTCACCACACCACCAGCCCCAAAATGGTACCCCGTCGGGGTAACCCAGGCAACATCGCTTATCAAAAAGCAGCAGTGAAGGTGGGGGTAATTTTATATTTCTTTAGGGCTCGTCGCCTACAGAATTCACCGTCCTCTGGCGTCGTAGAAACTCCAACAGTTGATAGCTTAAAGAGAAAGTCAGACGATTATGAGGAATATATGGGTTTGCCTGAATACCCAGTGAGGGTGGAGTTGCTAGACGGGGATGCACCAATACTGCTAATGCCCCATTTACCTTTGTGTGCCTTATTATTCTACCCCCTTTTCTCATTCTCTTAATTTCTTCCATTTCTGTTAAGTACATATGCTGTCATTGTCTCACCTGTCTTACAGTTATTTAACCTTACTTTTTGTGTGGCTACTCTACACATTCTCAAAACTTCCTAACTCTCCTACTATCATCCTTAGAGTATTTGCCTAGATAACTGGAGGATCACCCGGTGAAACAAGATTCACGAGTCAAAGGAGTGCCAATGCTCTGGTAAAATCCATATGCTCTCTCTTATATAAACCAGTCTGTCTTCTTTTACTCCCTTCAGCTAAGCTGCAACTATAATGGAATCTGCTGAAAATCTAGAATCGTTTTAATCAAAACAGCAAGAAGCGGGAGCAAAAATGATAATGTTTATATGAGCTCGGCAAAGTGATATTGAATATTGAAGGAGGTGAAACATACTGGGGGGTTCGTTCTCAAGGCCATATTTCTCGTGTTTTGTTGCAACTGTCTTTGTACTCTTATTGCTTTTCGAAATTCGACCTCTTGTACCACTTAGCTAAACTGTGTGTTCAATTATCACGTACATTCTTGGCGAACGCAGTTATTTTTCAATTTTATTTCATCGTCTTCGTTACATGTTTGATTTGATTTAGTACACCTCATGGATCTCACACTACCAAACAAAGAGCTCTATGGGATTGAGTTCCCAGCTGTAGTGAAGAACGTTGACACCGCTATTGAAATGCTTGGTGGACTGTCTCAAATATCTGAGGTACGTTTCATACCTATTTTGTACTGGTTCTTTAAGAACAGTTATTTTGATTTCGTAACACAAGCTAATTTGACTTGTTCTTAGAGTATTTACCATGTATGAGGATTTTTGCATTTTCTTGAACAGTTATCTGGTATACACTTTTTTAGTCGACTAAGAGTGATGACTTAGTGTTAACTTTCGATTTGTACTTTCATGTTTACATCTAATTCTTTTGGTCTTCTACCGACCTTCAAGATATCCATCATACATACTTACATGAGTGGATTTTGGACTCAAAGTAACACTGGAAACTACGCCACTTACTTCTAACTTGTTCTACACTGATATGTTGCATATCCCCAGCTAACATTTCCTTCGGGCACACTGCAATTACACAGTCGTTTGTTTGTGGTGTTACTAAAATTTCTATTATTAGGATGGTCACCGTTCTACTTCACAATGCTCTTGAAACATTCTGTGATCCCTTGCTATGCTTAATTAGTTTTATGCTAATGACTCCGCATTTGGTGAGACGATTTTGTGACAGGTGTATAACTGTACACTTCCTCATCATTGAGTGGTCTTTTAAACCGCTCATTCTACCCACTCAAGTTCCACTATGTGTGGCGATTTATGTTTGCCGTAAAATTACTTTCATCACATGCGAATTAATGGAACTTAAATAAAACTTCATGGTTAGTTGGCCTAAGTGTTTGTCTTTAAATAGATCAATAATTTTCAAGAGTTGGCTTGTAAGGATTAGATTTGTTTTTACGAGTTTGATGCTCCCACTAAATCACGAATTGGTAGAAGTTAAAATTCATGGGCTGGCCATTGAATCGGTTCCCAGTGGCTGAATGGCATACGAGCTTGCCTTGTAACCGGAAGGTCCTGGGTTCGAACCGTGGTAGTGGGTGCGTAGTGCCGATGATTCCCAAACTAGGATGAAACAGCTGTCCAGTACTCCTTGTTTTCAGTGGTTCTCTGACAGATTAATAATTGATTACCTTCGACTAATACGAGTTGACGCGATGCATTACTTACGCTGTTCACTTTGTATTCAAACGAAGTAAGAATCAGCTCATTATTTAGCTTTGAAGTCAACTTTTGTTAGTACTATACCATATGTGAACTTTGTAGACAGTTACTAGTTTTCGTGACATTTAAAATTATCTTGCTTGGTGCTCGTCTGCTCAGTGATAACCGCATAGTTTTTCTGGGGATGTTTATCCGATGACCAATGCACCATGAATGCTGGTCCCACGAAGCTGGTACATAATCACTTTCTGAATAGGGCAGAGGAGATTAATTCTTAATTTTATTGAAACTGGTAGCCAAGGTCTCAGATTGATGTCCGTTATAGCATATTTACATTGGTTTAGATTTATACTTAATGATAAATGTGTAAATAACATTCGGATGAGGGATTAGAAGATCAAGTAAAAATCATATACTTGATTCCAGGTCGTATGCATGAAACTTATCCACATTCATTATCTGGTGAATGACTGCAGTATTGGTTGGCTGAAATCAAAGCATCTGGAGTCGTCTTTTAGCCCACCCGTAACTTAAGTACCGAAGCTTGTAAACCATACTTCACTGCAGGATCAGTTTCATCTAAATGTTATCAGGAATTCTGTCTACGTTCATGAGCACTAAACATATTATGCATTGCTAGATGGCCGACTTTAAATGTGACGTGTGTAGTCATGGTTTCTTGATTTAGTGCTAACCACATTAATCAATGCCATTCATTACTCTGTTGCTATTAATTATAGGTATTTGCAGAGGAAAAGCGACGTTTGAATCTATCGTTTCGCCCTCATATGTTGTATGCTAAACCTGCCTGTGGAGATGGTCGATCGGCTAACGCTTTTGTTATTCGTGTTCAGCGCTGTAGAAACAAAAAGACGGGAGAAATTAAGCTTTTTTCAGTAATTTTAGGACGAGTTACTCGGGTCTATAAGTTTGAAGGTATGGTTTCCTTTTTGCTTGATATTAATTTTTTGCTGGTTATTGTTTTAAATAGAGTTGCGGTTAAGTAGTTTATAAGCGGAGGTTTTTAACTCTGTTTTCATTTTATCTTTTATCACTTAAGACTTTTTTTTCTACAACTAAGATGTAGTACGCGCGGCTATTCAACAATTGCATGGGAGTGGATTTAGTTATTTTTCTAACCTTTGCTATAAAAGACCAGAATCTTTTATGTTGTACTTTTTATTTGTACAGTCTTAGTTTTTGTCGTGATAGTATGCATCTGAAAATTGTTCATTTAGCATCATTACAAACAGTTTTATAGTTCTGTCTAACCGTAAAAAAGGGCATCAGATTCTCCAACTAATCGAACAAAATTCCCTGCAAAACCAATACTTAAAAATTAGTCTGATGCTCACTAGCGACTGGCCCTATTCAGGCAGTTAATCTGGGGTTCTAGTGGGAAGCTGTAACCAGTATGGTGCGGCAGGTTGAAGATGAGGCAGTAACTCATCGAAAAAGACATTGCGAAATGGTCGCGCTATGTCATGAATTGGCAGAAGTTAAAATTCATGGGCTAGCCATTGGATCGGGTCCTACTGGCTTAATGGCCTACGAGCTTGTAACCAGAAGGTCTTGAGTTCGAACCCCGTTGGGTGCGTACTGCTAAAAATCCTTTCGTCATAAGAAGAAAATAAAATAAAGAAATAGGCTTATCTACTACTCATTTTCTTCCTACTCGCCCGTTCACGCATGTGCAGTGAATAATGCAGTCATCTGTGCTTTTAAGGTATTATTTGTTTGACCTGTCATGCCTAAAACTCTATAGCCCTTATATGGTGATCTAACAAAAGAAAAACAATGGCATGAAGACAGATGGGCAAATAATTAAAGTCACTGGGTATCGTTCAACTTTAATGGTTATGTTTCTCATATGCAGAGTAAGATAAAACTCACATAACCGTTCAGTGGAAACCAATTGTTTGAGGGATGAGAAACGCGTTTTAGTGCCACTATACATATCTGGGAGACTTTGTTTAGGTTAATGCTGGTACTTGACTATCAGGGTGTCGTTGACTTAAACGGTTGCGTGTTAGCAGTACGTTCAAACAGCATCTGGCAATATCGCAATCAATGTTTGCAGCTGGACGAGCTGGTGCTTTGTGTGTCTATGTGGTTATTTACTGGCACACAGTTTCATGTGAAATGGTTACTTATCTCGGTTTACTTTCTATATTTTGATATGATGTTGTGTATATCGTGCTTTTATTTCTTGTTTCAAAATAAAGCAATGGCCGATTTTCAGTTTGGTCCATATGAGCGTGTTCCCACCTCAGCGAAAAATAACAAACCTGAATCAACTGATACGAACTACAAAATATTTTACAATGACCTTATAATCAAGGAACCCACAACAATGATTGATGAGTATTTATCCCGTGATATGCCGCTTTATTTACCACCAGTACTGTTTAGCCGTCAAGATACTCCAAGTGTTTATAATTTCGCACCTCGTTATCGTACAACTGAGTATATTCAACTTGAAGAAAAAGGTCATAAACTTCCAGTGTGTAAGTTATTGAAATGTTTATCTCTGAGAATCTTCCATTCTTTCTGTTGGACTCTAAAAATGTCGTTTACCGTCTCGCTTGAGTTTATCATATTATTAGTTTGTTTAGTAAACTATCTCGTTCATTCAACAGCTAACAGTGGTGTTGAAGTAATGTTATTATCATTATTGTATTCAGGCTTGAGCTTTGAAATTTCAGTAGCAGTGGTATTTCTTACGGGGTGGGGTTGCTAGCCTCACTCCAACCTTCCCTCCCTGTCGGGCTCACAACCGGTTAGCGGAGGTAAAGATGTACTCCGACCGGGAATCAAACCCTGGACCATATACATGATCGACTAGCATTTTACCGCTGAACCACCGACGCGTTGAACTAATATAGCGGTCAAGAAAAGCGAATCAGTTTGTTAACTTTCGTCTGTCGAAGTGGCTAGAGTAGTGTGTTCAGTGATGAGCAGTCGTTTGTCCCAGTTCACAGTATCAGGTGGAATATGGTGCATAAGCGATCAAAAGTGAAGCATAAATATATCTGATTTTCGCCTATCTACTTGCTTTGTTGCTTGTATTTCTCCGTTCCTCTGCTTCGAGTATCATTTTTGTTTAGTTAAAGATCTGCTTGAGTTGGTGTCACCTCTTTGTGTTGCCGTGTGTCAATATTTACCATCTAACTTTTGTCTGTTGCTCTACTCTGCTATATTCACTCGTCACAGTTATAAAGTATCGAATACACAATATTATTACTGATCACTTTTATTAAATATTATGATACTGCCTAACAAAAGCTTTTCCTAGCTAAAATGTATTTTCATTCAAGAAGATGCTTTTTATTCTTCTTATATTCCTTTAATATCAGTTTTAATAATTACTTACAGGAATCTGTTGGCATTAATTTGATTGATACACTGTAGCGGATTGAAAATTAGGGTACTGGAATTTTAATGAATTAGGCACAACACAGAATTTATTAGGTGAAGTGGTATAAATTACTATTGTATCAAATATTGGTGTTGATCCAATTTCTAAGTCATTGATTTACTGCTACGCCTGTCAAGGGTATGCAGTGTTATCAGCTGACCCCTTCTAACCTCTTTTCCCACCAAGTGTGATGTCGGCTAGCTTTCCAGTTTTTCGATACACCTAACTCCAGAATCGTTGTCACCCTCATACTGCCACTATAATGTGGATCTGTAGCTCGTCTTTCTAAACACTCGACTTTAAACCAGTGACCTAGGAGTTAAAATCGTGCTTTGGACACCTAGATGTTGTCATTAGCCTGTATACAACACATTTGATTCACTGCTAGGCGTGTGATTTTCGGGTGAAAATGTTTTGCTGCAACTACTTCGAATTTATATTTTTTAGAAGCTTTTTTTCTCACTCACCTTTTTATTACTATTACTTAGTAATATTCCTATCGAAGTGTTCGTATACGAGATTTCTTTTCATCCCTAGCAAGGAAAGCTCGACCGAATTTTGGATACCTTATAAACTTGGACGATAAAGCTCCCGCATCTCCAAGGCCAGGAGCAGTACAACGTGTATTAAATCTTGGACCAGCTGCAGTACCAGTAAAAGAAGGGATTCAAAAAGTGGGTCTTATTATATTGCTGTAGTTTCTGTCAACTTTTATCAACCAGAGCAATCATTTTATGTAAAAGGTATTATATTTTTTTTAAACTTGAAAATTCTATAATTCTTCAACAGGTAAGAACGTAAATTAGTGTGTTTACTTTAAGAAGACTCACACATTACCGCTGAGCAGTAATAAACGGGGTATACTGCTGGAAAGCCTGACTCGAAATGAGCGAAATGGCCGCCTGGCGTTTAGATCACTTCAATCTGGCCGGCAAGCATTACTGGTTGACATAAGGGTTATACAACTAATCTTCTCAACCAATCGGTAGTGTATAGAGTCAAACAATATATTGACTCGCTCTCTTTGTACGCACTGTTTCCAGGGTTTTTATGTCAAAACCCTAGAGATCAATTCTGTCTCTGTCATGTGTTTTACTGACTGAGTGGTATTATAAATAGTTTTTATTGATTATGGTACTAATTCAGAGCTGTTTTTATCACGGTAGCTTTTTGATGAAAGACCAGTTTGGATGCGCCCAGCTTTGGCATATCATATGCCTGCAGATACACGGTTGGTTTACTTCACCCAAGTACTTCCTTCTTTAGCCTACTACATGGTTCGTGGACCATGGAGTCGGGCCTGGGTTCGTTATGGTTATGATCCTCGCAAAGATCCTGAAGCCCGTTATTATCAGGTATGTGTGTGTGTATTATCTCTATTAAAAATTAACTTGAATATATTTAATTCTATTTTGGGTAATAAACGTTTTCCTTGCCAAGATAATGGTACTATTCATAACCATAATTGCCATGGTTATTGGTCATAATTTTCTTATTCCTTAACCGATTGAAAAAGAACATATTATTTTTCGAAACCCTTCTTTTTCAAAACCCGCCAAACTATCACTGTTTTCGGAGTTCAGAAACAAAGCTCCGTATTTCCATAAACATGTTTGCAAAGCGTGTGGTATATATATATATATGATGGTTAGAAAAGGTGTTTAGTTATATAACACTACACTCTGTGTATGTATGTGATTTAGTAGTAACAAGCACGTTCATGAACCTAAAAACAAGCAATCACATTGCGGGATTTGTTTGAACATTAGCCGAAAGATTGTAACTAAGCACGCTCGACAAATGTTTGGGGGCTTAGAAAGCCTTCTAGGTTGTTGACGGAGGTCAAATGTTCTCCATATGTAAATATAGTCGAGAAACAATTGATGGGACCTAGGTTGTGTTCTATTCTAAATAAGCCATCGCTTACTACCACTTATTATATCAATTGATTTAAAAATAAATTCGAATACAGAAGAAGAAGGTTAGTAGACCTTGTCTAAATGCTGTACGCAGGTTTTAGTATGCTCTCTTTCACCTGTCATTCATCATTTCGTTAAAAATCATCTAATCTACGTGAGACTTACCAGCTTATACACACTAAATGTATTTTTACATATGCTTGTTTCGGGAAATAAATGACTGTCTACAACGTAAGAGTAAGACAAGGCTACCTATTATCACCAATGATATCCCTAATTGTGGTGGACTTGATTATACGTCAGACTGTGCATGGGAGTGAGAAGAAAGGAATACACTTGACCGATAAGAAGACTCTGGGAGACCTGGATTTTGCGGTCGATTTATGTCTAGTGTCACACAAACTCAAAGACTTGCAAGCGAAAGCCAACAAACTGGCAGAAGTGGCAGTCAGCGAAGACAAGTGAACATAGAGAAGATGGAGACGGAGGTGATGAAGATAACCAACCAACAACGACAACAAACAGCACCAATCACTATCAACGGGAGAAATTTAAAAGAGGTTGTTTCCTTCATCTATCTAGGAAGCATCGTTTCAACCACATTGGGGACGGATGAAGATATCAAAGCTAGGTAGATTTGGAAAGGCAAGATACGTCTCCATCAATCTGAAATCAGTTTGGAAATCTTCTGCATTCAGCCAGCATCAAGAACAAGATTCGGATTTTCAACACCAATGTTAAGTCAGTCAGTTCTTCTATATGGGTCAGGAACTTGCACTGCACATCACGAAAAGCATTCTCAACAGCCAACTGCAGACTTTTATCAACAGCTGCCTTCTTCACTCTCTCTATTGAAGATCAAATGGCCAAAGTGAATTAGCAACGGAAAACTATGGGAGCAGACTAACCAAGAACCTATCGTTCAACAAATATGTAAGAGAAACTAGCGATGGATTGGGCTCATGCTGAGGAGACCGTTGAGGGACATAATGCGCAATGCAGCCCTTGCAGTGGAACCTGAATGGGGAACGACTAGTGGGTTGTTGCTGCGAGAATGACCTGGAGGAGATCGTGTGAGGAGGAGATGAGAGGTTATGGGTAGTCGTGTGGTCAGCTAGAGAGGAGAGTAGAAAATAGAAGAAAGTAGAGATGTGTTGTTGAAGCCCTATGTTCTACTTGGAACCCAATAATAATAATAATAATAATAATAATAATAATAATCTACAACGTAAACTATTAGAGCATTTATTTGGTGGATGGTGACCAGCAGCGGAATCCAGGATGTGGATTTCCCCTTGTATTGGGACTCATCGGCTAGATGCACCTGCAATCCCCAGTGGATAATGATTTTCCCACTGACACTCGAACCCAGTACCCTTTGTTTTAGACGTCAAAGCATAATCCACCAGACCATTTGGGCTATGAGCCAACAGGTCGACATAGGTCGAACATTTTAGTGCAGTCAGCCATCGGGGAAATCAAAAATGACTCAAACAAATATTACAGTAATGGCTTAACCCCGTTTATTTTTAATTAATTATTTTATATAATATACCGTATTTTATTAGGTAATTGATTTTCGAGTGCAAGCTTACATGGTAGTACGCAAATTATTATGCCATTCATCAGCTAAGAAACGTATGCTTTCCACGGATGCAACTAAACGATTCTTATCTGATTGCCGCAAGTCTTATGAATCTGTACGTCCCAGAGAAGACAGTTTTATTGATGAAATTTTGAATGGTACCAAGAAAATCCCTCAAGAAGAAAATGTAGATTCTGATGAAGAAGATGAACTGGATCCAACTGAGGATGTCGAAGAGGAGGAGGATGAAGATAAAATACAGAAAACATTAAACAAGGTATGTTATAGTTTATTGTATTTTTCATCGGGGAGGCAGATACCGGGAGTTGCTTTATTCTTATTCCTTGTTACTTTCCGTTTTGTCTTAGTGTATGGAATGTTGTAGATAGTATTATTGATATTTGCAGTTTGTACTAAATTTCTCCAATGAAATCATTGTTTTAATTTTCGTCTAAAGTATTGGCGTTCAGTGTGTTCTCTATAGTTTGGTTTGTAAGGGTTAGTCATGTTTTTACGAGTTGATCACGGATTGATATCAGTTAGAGAACCATTGAAAACCAGGGCGTACTGCACAGCTGCTGTTAAATCCTAGTTTGGGAATCATCGGCAGTACGCACCCACTGGGATTCGGACCCAGGACCTTCCGGTTACAAGGCAAGTTCGTATACCATTCAGCCACTGGGACCCGATTCACCTAATGGTCGAAAGATGAGCCCTCAACCCAGAGAAAGTAAACAGTTATTATTTAGATTTAACGGACAAGCTGTGTTAGATTACGTGAGTGGTTTTTTTATTGATTTCTTCAAGTGCTAGGTTGTAGGGATTTGATCGGCTTCAATTTGGATTACGAATTGATATTAGTTGGAAAGCTATTGTAAACCAGGAATTACAGGACAGCTGTTTCGTCCTAGTTTGGGACTCTTCGGCAGTACGCAACCATGGTCCTACCAGAGGTCCAAACCCAGGGACCTTCAGGTTACGAGGGTAGGTCGTTTACAATTCAGCTCCTGGGACGGAATACAGTGGTCGGTCCATGGAGTTTGACTTGTGTCAATCCGTGATTTGTAGCACCACCGCCAACCAACAAGCTCACCTGGTAACCTGGAAACGATCCCCAGTGGGGTCACTGGTGTGTACTGCAGAGGAGTCCTAGACTAGGGAGAGCAGCTCTCCAGTGCCTTCTAGTTTTCAGTGGTTCTCTAACTGATATCACTCCCTGAATAAACTTGAAATATTGATTTTTTGCTTGGAAAATAAGCTGGGTGCCGTTTGAGCTCCAAGTGATTTGCCACACTTTACAACTGAAGAGAAACAAGACACTCAAGAGATAGTAAACTAAGACAAGTTAGCATAATTAATAAGCACATCCACAATGGTATTAGTTATTTCAATGACTCATTTTTAAGTAAGTGTATGCACATTTCCACAATGCAATTTCGGCTTCATTGCTTTCTGTGATACAGACACCAATCAAACTGGATGTCGATAACACAGTAATCCCTGACAAACTCACATGAAACATACTCTCTAATGCTAAAGATTGAGCGTTTATTTGGGGCCATTCAGTAGGATCTTGTATGCAGTTCTCCTGGGCTCAGAAGACATCCATCTCGAAAATTTCTAAGGGTGTGACTAAATCTGTGTGATGTCCTAGTTGCATTGACTGGTGAACGTTGTCAGTAGTTAGTTTTTTATGGATATACATTGTACTTAAAACCTTTGTGTGTGATATCGCATTTAAGACCAGTTTTCTAGAGGTAACAATCTATAGTATAAGAACGATATAAGTAGATTGAGATTTCAAGTAGTATCGAGGAATCAAATAAAGTATAATTATATTTCAATAGTTTACACTCAATGATAAGTTTTGTTATTGATAATATTTCGAGCTGGTAAAACTACAGATAGAAAGGAATATAAAGATTATAAAATTTAAGTGTAACAACCACAACATATTGATTATTTGAATATATGATTCATGAAGTAACAGATGCGATAAGTTATGAGAGTTTTAAGTTATGTTGGTCCCTTCATATTTGCATGATTTCAGAGATATTGCTCAAACTCCCAGATGGAAGGCAGTGGTTGTCATAAGGAGTTGCTCTCTGAGCCTTCGACTGGTGGTGCAAAATCCTGACTTGCATTCCTATGACTGTCGGTGACTATAACAGATTCATGGACTATTTATTTTTTTCATATCTTGGAACCCATTTGCTTTGAATCAGGATTTTTCAACCGCCCCTAGTTGGATTATCGATGTCCGCCACCAGTCCGTTGTTGAATGCTGGAATTTCTCACTCTCCCTCCCACCTTTGTAATACACACTGCTTCTGCATGGAAATAATGAATAAAGTTTACCTGACAAAGGCTGTATGTGCGTGACTAAATGTGAGCATTTTAAGAAGAAAACTGGAGTCTTCTCATCCCCAGATGTACAGCAAGTAGGCAGTGGAGGGCAAATGAGTCATTAGTTTCATTGCTACTCACCAGTCAGTAGTGTTTATCGTCCTTTTTTCATGCTCCTTGTCTAGATGTCATCCATGTAGTTGAGCAAATCACCTATTATACTGTCGAATGTTTTGTTTCTGATGAAGATTTCATCTCATTACATATAATTTGTTCTCGTTGCTGACTTAGTGGGAATAATCGCATCGCTATCTTTGCTTCTGAGTTGTATTCTGGATTGCTTGTTAGTTGATCAGTGTAGCTATTTTGTCTTATGTTTTATTGATCAAAATCTATTGACCAAATGTTCTATTTCTCTATTAAGCTAAGTGAGACGATATTGCTGTGCACTTTAGTCATTTGTTCTTAGGATGAAGACACTTTCTGTTACTTTTAACAGCAGCATAAATGTTCCAAGTGTATGGTTTATTGTCTTTGATGCTAGACTATCATTCGATAGATTTTGCTTTCTAAACTAGTGACATTTACCGAGATTTCAAAAGTCAGATAGTCATTCATCCTAATGCAGTTTATTGCTTCATCATTAGTGGAGATGTTGTATAGCCAAAAGAATTTCCAAATTGTGTTAAACTATTGATCTAGGCGACTTAGTGGATCGTTCTTCAATTTTCTTTGGGTTGCCTTGGTTAAGAATGACTGATATTGTTAACACAATTTGGGTTTGGCTAAATACATAGCGTCCCGCCTGGTCTAGCGGTTAGTATTCCTGGCTCTCACCCAGTTGGCCTGGGTTCGAGTCCCGGCTCGGGAACGCTTTGCGTCAGTGGTTCAGGGGTGGAATGCTTACCAACAACGCATGTGGTCTAGGTTAGGCTGCTGACAGAGGCCCCCCTAAACTTCAACCAACCAGGAGTAAGCTTGGAAAAGAGGAAAAGTTGGGCGTGAGACAAACAACACAAGCCCTACTGAAACTTCGAAGCTTAAGGCTTGAAACCCTTTTCTTCCACTCGGAAGTCGAAGGAATAAAATAAATCAGTATTCAGCACACATATGCAGAAGACTGCTTCAGTGTTTCACCTGTTTAAGTTTTATGTTGGCCAATAAACATATGTGTTAAGACCCATTCTAAGTTCCCATAAATAAATTGATTGAATGACAGTTCTTGTGAGCTGCAGAATAACGAACGTGACTTCTCTTCAATTCAGTTGAGTAGATCTATTCATCTTCTATATGAGTTCTAATCATCCATTATGTATGCTGTAATGCTGCCCTCCTTGTTTAAGTGTGGTGAGAGCTGTCTGCTAGCCAAAATCGGTAGACAGTAATTTACGTCAATGTTTACGTCCCAAATATATAGGTCATGAGAAAAACAAGAACAAAGACTGACTCAACAACCAATCACAGCAGACTTTGCGTGGACGGATACGATTAGCAGATAGATGATCTGACCTTCAAGAAACGGCCACAAAGAGATGAAAGATTAACTTTCAGCGAGAAACAACCAATCAGAAGACTGTGTTTGTCTGCTAATAATAACGAATAATAATGTACATAAAAATCTATAAATATCTGTTGATTTCTTCCATAAACGATCTGTCGCCTGACTCTCGCCTTCTGTCGTTACATAAGTAAAATAGAACTGTACACTCTAATCTATGGTTATTGAATGTTCATCTTTACTAAGGAATTTAGACGCAGAAATTACGGTTGACATTAGCGATATACGGTTTATAATCAAATGATTCAAACAAGATGTATTATTAAACATGCTAATTTTTTTTTACTGGTTTTTTAAGTTAAATTTATCTTGTAAAACTGATTTCTCTTCAGTGTACAGATTATCATTTTGGACCGAATAATTGGCCAACTACGCATCAAGTTCGTTATTGTCTCATGGATATAGATATTCCTGAGGTGCAGGATTTGTTGAAAGAGGTGCCTAAGCGAACTGAAATTGATCCAGTCGATGGTTGGCTACCATCTGGAAGTATTAAACGTATCCGGGATCTCTTAGGACAGTATTTAAAGAAGTGGATATCTGAATCCAGTGCAACACATAGCGACAATGTCGGCGAATGATTATAACATGCTTCAGTTTTAATCACTTTGCATTTTCTTGCTTTCCGATTAAATAAACATTAAAGCTAGAGAAAGAGATATCGACACTTTAATTGTAAATATTGAACTTTTTTTAGCTATTGTACCCATGTTTTTTTTTTACTTTCTCCTTCAGACACTGATTTCAGTATCCCTTTATTCTTCAATTTATGTGACTTTTTGTCCGTAATGATCTCATCATTTTCTTCTTCATTATTCAGTCAATACTCATTCATTCATCATTCTGTTTTTGTAACTTTGAGATAGAAAATAAGATATTATGCATAAATATCAACTTCTTTTAGTTGTCTTGAATTCTGATTTCATTTTATTGCTTCGATTGTATTGTTTGATTGTAAATTGCTTGAACATAAACGGTGATGGTGATTGTAAGCTACCATATGCGTAAACATACTCTGATCATTTGGGTACCACATGTAGATAGAAAGAGAAATGGAATGTTTCGATAAAGAAAAGAAGACGAAATTTGCAGTGTAAAATGATATCGTCATTCTATTTCACAGGTTCTCATCAGCTGCAGACTACCTGAAATTACAATGGTTATATGGATGATAATAACATACTTTAATGTTTAAGTGGTAGTAAACAAAAAATACGATAACATTGACGCATCTAAAATGTAAGCATTACAATTTTTAGTTTAAGTTTTCATCATCAATTTATACGCTTTTAAAGTTGAAAAGATGGGGTGGGGGGAGGGGTAAGACAGAAAACAGAAAAAATTAATCAACAGAACAGTGTTAGCTTGTAGGTTCACACAGCAACTCAAAAAACAAAAGCGGTTACAGTTTATGAGATTAAGATTTGTTCAGTGAGTTGAGATCACTGAATTAGATGACTAATTAATATAATCAAAATCAAAATTCAGTTACCAAGGCAGTGAGAGGTTAATCACACTCTCTTTCTGTATGCATAAGTCTGGTTTAAATCGTTTGATTGCGATCGCTTTGGCAAATCGTAGTAAATTTGCTGTCCTTTGTCTATTTAATATTTTGAAAGACTTAGAAATCTCTACGAGATGTTCGGTATCAACGATATGTCTGGTAATTGCACTCTGAGAATATTTGCTTCCTTTCAGGCATAGGTTTCTTGGAATATGTTCAGAAAACCGGATAGAAGCCCTTCTTTCCGTCCTTCCAATGTACTTGCTCCCGCAAGTGCACATAAATTCATGAATCATGAATTCATGATCAAACGATTCAAACCAGACTTATGCATACAGAAAGAGAATGTGATTAACCTCTCACTGCCTTGGTAACTGAATTTTGATTTTGATTATATTAATTAGTCATCTAATTCAGTGATCTCAACTCACTGAACAAATCTTAATCTCATAAACTGTAACCGCTTTTGTTTTTTGAGTTGCTGTGTGAACCTACAAGCTAACACTGTTCTGTTGATTAATTTTTTCTGTTTTCTGTCTTACCCCTCCCCCCACCCCATCTTTTCAACTTTAAAAGCGTATAAATTGATGATGAAAACTTAAACTAAAAATTGTAATGCTTACATTTTGGATGCGTCAATTTTATAGTATTTCTTCTCTACTACCACTTAAACATTAAAGTATGTTATTATCATCCATATAACCATTGTAATTTCAGGTTTGCGCTGATGAGAACCTGTGAAATAGAATGACGATATCATTTTACACTGCAAATTTCTTCTTTTTTTATCGAAATTTATCAAGGGAACCAAATGTATGAAGAAATGGAATGTGCCTATTCAAAAAGGTGATTATGGTTATTAGAAAGTACGTACAATGATTAGTTAATATTCATTTGAGAAAAAATGCATCTTCTGGCAGAATGAATTTGAGTGATATTCTTTTTGGAAGAGATTTATTATCTATAGTTGGTTTGTAAGGATTAGATTTTTCTTTACGAGTTGATCACGGATTGATATCAGTTAGAGAACCATTGAAAAACAGAGTGTACTGGACAGCTGGTTTATCCTAGTTTGGAAATCATTGGCACTGCGCACCCACTGGGGTTCGAACGATCAGCATAAATGGGAGGAACCTGAAAGAAACAACCTCTTTTACCTACCTGGGAAGCATCGTCTCAACTACAGGCGGAACCGACGAGGATATCAAAGCAAGGATCGGAAAAGCAAGACAAGCTTTCACTACTCTCAAGTCTGTGTGGAGGTCAACAACATTGAGCATCAAAAATAAGATCCGGATTTTCAACTCCAATGTGAAGTCAGCGCTGCTATACGGATCAGAGACTTGCACTGCGCGTCATAAAGAACATCTCAAACAAACTGCAGACCTTCATCAACAGTTGTCTTCGCTCAGTACTCAAGATCAGATGGCTGGCCAGGAAAGATCAGCAACAGGGATCTTTGGGAGCGAACCAACACAGCAGGAACCGATTATGTGTGTGCGTCGGTTGCACAGTGGTTAGGACTCTCGCCGACTATGCACATGGTCCGGGGTTCGATCCCCTGCCGGCGCACACCCGATATCTATGGTCGGCCTGAATTTTGGGCTACCGATATCCATGCTGAAAATTCCATACTTGTACTGAAAATACGGTGTGGAATCAAGCTGTAAATCAAAATAAATAAAAAAAATAAATAAAAATTGTGAAACAAATAGGCCGGAAGAAATGGAGATGGATTGGCCATACCATGAGGAAGCAAACTATCAAGTGACATCACTAGACAAGCCATTGCTCGAGTGGAACCCGAACGGGAAGCGGCGAGTTGGTTGTCAGTGCAAGGGTGACTTGGAGGAGGTCATGTGAAGAGGAGATGAAAACGTGTGGACAGACTTGGAGCCAGGTAAAGACTGTAGCAGAGAACCGAACGCAACGGAGACGCGTGGCTGAAGCCCTAAGTTCCTCTGGGAATTAAAGGAAACAATAATAATAATAATGATTCACTGTTCCGCCAAAGTCCCACATTGCTAATCCTTTCTGACCAGTCGTCTGGTCTTCAGTATCCATCGAAGATATCTGTTAGTGAAAATCTGTTGAAAATGCTTTTGATGACATGCGCGCTAAGTCTTTGAACCACACAGAATCATTGACGTGAAACTGGTGTCGAAAATGCGGATGTTGTTCCTTGCATTAAGTGTTGTAGGTCTGTTTTCAGAGTAATGAACACTTGTCTTGCTTTTTCAATTCTGCCTTTAACATCCTCATCCGTGCTGTCTGTAGTTGAAACTATGCTTCACAGCCAGGTTAGTGAAGGAGATGACTTCCTTCAGATTTCTCTCGATGATGGTGATTGATGCTTGTTGTTGTTCATTGGGTATCTTCATCTCCGCTGTCTTCTCTGTGTTTTCCAGAAGTCCTGCCTATGCTGCCCTTTCTGCCAACTTGTTGGTTTTCACTTGTAAATCTTCGAGTTCGTGCGACGAAATCCAGTTCTTCTGTGGTCTTCTTATCGGTCCAACGTATACCTATCTTCTCGCTCCCCACGGTAGGCTGCATAATGTACTCCGGCATCATCAGGAAGGCCATCGGAGACAATAGGCAGTATTGTCTTTAGCCTATCATCACTTCGAATGCTTCGATGAGCTTTACGTTGTGAATTACTTGACATGTGGCATCAACATTAAATAACTGTTGGATAAGATTCATAAATGTTTGCGCCACTATACTCCACCTACCAAATTACTTTACGGTCGATGTGGAAGGCGTTTTCAAAGTCGTCGAAGTTGAGGTAGAGAGTGGGCTGTAATTCTATGCTCTGTTCGATGATGATGCATAGTGTAGTAATCTGACTCGTACATAACTCGTCTTTCCTGAATTAATCCTGTTCTGGCAAAAAAATGTCTCACTCAGAGCATCATTTAGTTTCTCCAGGATACTGTGACCTAATATTTTGCTTTAGGTGAACAGGAGTATGATGTTGTGCCAGTTTGTGAATAGGCTTGAGACTCCGTTTTGCAGGTTAACAAGGTGGCCTTTCTTCCAAACCTTCTGCAATAGTGCAGTGGGTGTTTCCGCCAGTTTTCAGTATTACTGCGGAGATTCCATCTGACCCTGTTACCTTCGTGGCTTTCAGTAACTTTATTAGCCCTCAAAACTCCTAATTTTGTTTTAGGGTTGGTGTTTACTATTAGTTCTGCATCTGTTGAATAATTGTAGGTGGTAATCTATTCAAGAGTACTTTGAAGTGATCAGCCCAGCGTTTCCATTGTTTTGCCTCTGTGGTTAATTTGTTTCCTTCACTATCTATCATTGGCTTCATCTGCGTTGATCTCTTCATTGATAGCGATCTGGTCATTTGATACATTGTCGTGAGGTCTCTTTTACCTGCAGCCTGTTGTGCTTCAGTTGCTAGTGTGTCGTGAAATTGTCTTTAATCTTTCTTAGCACCCTTCTTCACTCCTTTGTTCAATGCGTTGTACACTGGACTCATCTTCTTTCGTTGCTCATTTCTGCACTAGTTCATCTTCGGTTTCGCCATTCTTTCTGTCAGCTTCCAGGTGTCCGTAGAGGGCCATTCCTTCTCTTGTCTCTTCTGTATGCCTAAGATTTCTGTAGAGGTTTCTTACCACTTCTTTTTCTAGCCAGTTGTAGTGTTCATCCATGCTGGTTTCCTAGGTGATGGTGTTTAATGTTTCGGACTTTCTTTTGTTGATTTAAGTGAAACTGTCCATTGTAGTTTCGTCGTTCAGTTTCTAAGTGTTGAATTTGAATTGTGGTCTATCTCCAGCCTCTTTGGAAGACTTTTAACTTGATTTTGAAGCTTCCTTTCATTGGATAGTAATCTGAATCCACATATGCTCCTCTTCTCGATTTTGTGTCCAGCAGGCTGCGTCTCCATTTTCTTGAGATTGAAATGAAGTGTGATTTTTGGTTGGTTGATCCGGTTGAAATGCATGTCACCTTTTGTATATTTTTGTGCTTGTGCACACTTCTCTGATTAGCAAGCAATTAAAGGCACAATAGTCTTCAAATAGTTCTCCGTTCTCATTTATTTCTCCATGTGCCTCTCAATCCATGCTGAGTTCTTTTCTTGTGTTGTCTGCTTCAGTTTGGGTAGGATTCATATGATTTATTGGGTTTTGGTGACACCCTCTGAGTTGGGTCTCGTCCATTAGTGTTTGGATTTGTCTGTAGAAGTCCTCCTTTTTCTTTGCTGGGTATACATTTTTTTGTAGGAGCGTATTATTAGACGATTGCAACATTTCTTCCTTTCGAGTTGAATTTTGCTGTGATTATCCTGGTAGAGACTGGCCCCAATCGCATAAGAGCCTTTGATGTGGTTGGTGACATTATGATAATCACACCTTGAACGTGCTCGTGGTTCT